GCCGCCGGCCACCGGCCTCCCAGGCAGCGGCGCCCTCCCTGCTGGCAGCTTCTGCTCGCTGCTCCCACGGGCCGGTGACCCCGGGAGGTGGGTGCCGCTGGGCAGGCCTGGCGTCCAGTGGGGGAAGCCCCGCCCTTTGGAGATGGGTATCCCGGGGGCCGGGCAGTGGGGTCTGTGACGCCCCAGCCCTGTAGCCCCATGTGTGGACGTGAGGACGTGGTCAGTGCGGCCCCTCACGTTGCCCAGGGCTGCCCGAAGGCACCAAGTCCTTGGACTCTGACGGGGCGGGAACGTGAGGTCAGACACGGAAGGGCCAGGAGGGGTGTCACCAGACCCCTTACGCCGCCACCCCAGAACTGCCCCGCCCCCGAGACTGCAGCGGCTCCCTGCCCAGACCCTGCCCGCCACCCCGCTCTTCCGCTGGCCCCACCGCCCGCCCGCCCGCCTTGCAGGTGTCGGCCAGGCTGGCACGCCAGGGCCAGGACGTGGCAGCCTCAGGTCCCTGTTCCCCTCCAGCCCAGCCACGCCCCAGGGCCCAGCTCTGGAGCCTGCTGCCCCGGCCCCCCTGGACTGCCCCCCGGCCCCCCTAGGCTGTCCCCGGCCCCCCCGGGCTGCCCGGGCCACGGCCCCTGCACATTTCTCCGTGGCGCGCTGGGGCCTGCGCCTCTGTGTGAGTCCCCTGTGAAGAGCTTTCTGTGCTCTTCTGTCCACTCGCCCTGCGGGCTCAGACCTCCGGCTCCAGAGCGGCAATCTGGGCCTGGCCTTCCTGCCCAGCTGCCTGAGACCCTGCAGTGCGGGCCTCACCAGCCAGCAGCTCTGTACCGCCCAGGCACTGCACCGCCCGCGGAGCAGCTGACCCCGGTGTCCACGGGCGCCCCGTGGCCACTTCCTCCGGCACCCCTGGTCTCTTCCCGGCTCTGAAGGCAGAAGCGGGGCGCCTCGGCCCCCCATAGCCCGCCTGCCGGGCGCGCTGCTGGCAGGCGTGTCGCGGTCACCTGCGGGGTCCTGGCCTGGGCTTTGGAATGTCCACAGGTGGTTAGACGTGGTCTCCGGCCTCGGTGCCCTGCGGCGGCTCTGAGCTGGCCCCGGCCGGGCAGCTTCCCAGCCCTGGGTCTGTATGTTTCCCCGCGGCCCTTCCTCCCTGGCGCGTGGCCTGTGGGGGCATCCGGCGCCTGTGGGGGGCGCCTCTCCTCCGGTGCCGCACCCCGAAGTCCTCTCCCCGCACCCTGGGCGGACCCTGGGTTTGAGCCCTTCTCGGGGCCTCAGAGGCGTTCACGGGGAGCGCCTTCGTCCTACCTCCTGTCCGCAGTCCGGGGACACAGCCTAGGGGCGCGCGGGTCTGCGTCCATCCACCGGGCCACTGGCACTTCCGGGTGGACAGCGCTGTCCCTTGCCGGCTTGCGGGGCCGTGGCCCGCTGGCCGACCCGCCCTGCTGGCCTCTGGACCGGCCATTTCCACTCATTCCTCTGAGCCCCGCGCCCTCTGCTCACTGTCTGGGCGCCTCCATTTTGCCTTCTGTCCTCAAAATGGCTGTTTTCACTGGTCGCCGGTGAACCCCAACATCTGCTCCTCCCCACAGTGCACGTCTCCTTCCTCACCCCACAGCTGTGCGGCCAGGGCGGCTGCCCCCCCGGGGGCTGGGGGCTGGGGGCTGGGGGCCGCGGGCGTTCACACCGGCCTCCCGGGCTGGACAGACAAGGAGGCGCGGCGACCGTGTC